ACAAAATTTATCATGTTAACCATTTTTAAGTGTACAGTTCTGTGGCAAGGATGTACAATCATCATTACCATCCATCTCCAAAATTTTTTCATCTCCCCATCTCAAATTCTGTACCCATTAATACCTTTCCTCCCCCCAGCCCCTGGCAACCACCATTCTACTTTTTGTCTCAAAGAATTTAACAGTTCTACATACTTAGTGTAAATGGAATCATATGCTGTTTGTCCTTTTGTGACTGGCTTATTTCGCTTAGCACAGGGTCTTCAAGGTTCATGCTCATTGTGGCATGTGACAGGATTTCTTTCCTTTTTAAGGCTGAATAATATTCTATTGTATGTATAGACTATATTTTGTTAATGCATTCATCCATCAATGGACACTGAAGTTACATCCACCTCTTGACTATCAAATAATGCTGCTATGGACATGGCTGTACAAATATCTGTGGAATCTTTGCTTTCACTTCTTTTGGGGTATACACTCAGAAGTGAAATCACTGGATGAAGTGGTAATTCCATCTTTACTTTTGTGAGGAACCAGCATACCATTTTCCACAATACTGCGTCCATTTTACCTTGCCACTAGCATTGCTCAAGGGTCCTAATTTCTCCATATCCTCACAGGCACTTACTATTTTCTCCCTTTTTAAGAGTAGCCATCCTAAAGGGTGTGAAGTGATTCAATGTGTATCTTTTTGTTTGTATGACTTCTTTCAAAATGTATACAGTTGTTTTGTCCCTATGCAACTTTTTACACAAGTAACATAGCATTATTTCTTTCATTTTCTGTGTGGCTATCTTCACCTGGAACTGTTTTTAAGACACAGCCATTTGTCTCCTGTACGCAGAGCTCATTGCTTCTAATTTGTGCATAGTACTCCACACTGAGCGCCAACTATATCCAAGCGTATTGAAAATGTCCTGAGTGCTTGTAGAAAGCTCTCTGCATGTGTTATTTGACTCCTTACAGCAATCTTGAGAGGTAGATTATTATTATTCCCACTCTATAAGGAAACTGATACACAGAGTTGAGGGACTCACCCGAAGTCACACAGCTGGAAACAGGAGACTAGACATTTTAACACAGGTCCATTTGGTACCACAAAGAGGACTCACGTGTGTTAAGTGCTAAAGCAAGAGGGCTAACTGCAGACAGAGGCTCCCACTCAGGTGAGGGCATTCTGCTGAAAGTTCTAGTCCTCACTACATCCTGACTCATCTCCAGGTTGTGAATCCCCTCCCTTCACCAGATGTCACTTTATGTCTGTGTAGAATGAAGACAGGAACAACTTTCTTGCTCTTTGGAGATTCACCACTTATTGATTAAACACCCTTTAGCTAACAGAAAAACCATCAGAACTGAAGGCAGGTGTTTGTCTCTTTCCAGTGCTCCACCCGGGAGCCATGCCAGACACATGAAAACCTTTCAGCGAATCTGCCTGTGAGGCTCCTCCCCTGTAGGGCTAACTATTCCCAGAAAAACAGAGGCGCTGCCTCCGGCTCCATCCCACCTCTCTTGAACTTTGTGCTTACCCCGATGAAAAATTAACCGGCTGATGTTTCCTTTCCAAGGACAACCTCTGCAGAAGCCGGCCTGGCTGGGCCCCAGGAGCACCGACACTAGAACAGAGCTCCTCTCCATCCACAGCCGCCCACCCACTCACCTGCCAAAGGCCAGGGTGTGTGGGGGGTTCTCGGGCACCCAGAGAAATCTGCTCCTCAGCCCTCCTCACTGTTTCATGAAACTGGACTGATTTCTGTAACTCTTCTAGGGGAGAAACTGAGGCCAGGGGAGAAAGAAACGCCCAGACGAGGCACTTGTTGGCCTCACACGGGGAGCCAGCCCTGTTTTCTGCATGCACCAGCTGTCCCACTGAGACCAGAAAAAGAGGGAATTGAAGGACAGCATGCTTCAGCCACGCTGACTGCTGACCAGTCACTGCCTCCTTTCAGGAGAATGAGAAGGCTGACCAGGGGGCCCTTCACATGTCATGATTCAGAGGCTCGGGGACATGCCAGGTCCTTCCACTACCTGCAGCCCTCAGATCTCTCTTAGGCGCCTCACCTTCATCGTGCACATTGCACCTCACCACACATGGCCTCAGCACTGAAGGAGGACCGTTGTCATGCTTTTTCTAGATTCATAATAAGAACTGTGAGGTTCATTCTTACAGCTGAGAGAATAGATGCTCGCCGGGGTGAAGGGGTAGAGAGAGCCAAGATTAAAAGCCAGTTCAGTCACTGATGAAACTTGAGGCCTTTTTGCTGGATGCCTCTCAACAGTGGGACCTGCCTGAAGGCGGTGTTCAGGTTAATGTGAACGTTTCACACAAGGGCCCGTTTCTCACAGGCACACACCTCCCTTGATGCTTCTTTAGGTTGAGAGGCTAGGGCCCTTAGTCTTTCATTTCAGGATTTTCAGAAATGCGTAGGACGGCACACGGAGGTGCTCTATAGATGTGCATGTCTAACTGAACCCTGCTCCCCACTTTGCACCTTTCTCCATGGCACTAACAGCGGCCCCAAGGTATGGCTCCATTCCTTTAGAGTATTGACTGTTGGCTAAGCTTTTCACATCGGACTCCCACAACCACCCTAAGAGATTGAGAGGAAAGCTATCTCTAGCCCGTTTTCCAGGTGAGCAAACATTTCTTCTAGTATCACAATAGTGCACCTGTGTAAAGAACTTTGCTTTTGCAGAGCTCCATCTGTGATGTCACCTTCGCCCTCTACAACTCTAGAAGGCAGCTAGCTGGGTGCCGTGTGGGCTGAGGCATCAAAAATCACTGGTTTCTATCCTAACTTTGCAGCTTAGAGCTCTCGAGTATTATAATCTCTGTGCCTCAGGTACTTCAGCTGTAAATGGGCGAGCAGGGACATCTACTTCAAGAGTCGCTGTGAAGAGAACTCAAAGGGCATCACTTGGGCTACCTGGAATGAAGAACGCCATCAATAAAAGTCTATTGCCTTCCTCCCTTCTCTTTTTCGATGAGAGCTGGAGGAAGGAAATGAAACCAGATTATAATGGCTGCTGGTTAGTTCCGAGGACCGTCCAGGAGTGGGGAGCAGGTCATTAAGCCCCATTTGGGGTTAAGAGGTTTCTCCTTTGAGGTCCAAGCAGGCAAGAAATTAGAAGGAGGGGAGCCCAGAGCTCGGCCCCAGCAGCTGACAGGCCTGGCAGAGCTCCTTCTCTCCTTCCAGGCAGGGGACCCCTGCAGCTTCTGGGCTGACTTTGTGGATTAGGCCACACCTCACAGGGCTCTGTAACGCCCCACCCGCTAGAGGGTTTTCGGATCACTTCTTTCTCACCATGGGAGTTTCCTGCTGTTAAAAACAAACAAAGGCTAAGAGGTCTGATAGGGGAGGGGCTGCAGGAGAAAGGCCCTGGGGGCCTGGGGTGACTCCAGACAGCCACTGAGTGAGGGGGGTCTGTGGGTGGACACCCCAGAACTGTGTTGGTGGAGAGAAAAGCCCCAGAGCGCCCCCCTATCCTGGTGTTTCTCTGCTTCCCACTGAAGCTAATTTGGAATATATAAGGTCCCCGAAGACTGCCCTTTTGCTCCACTTCTTGCGAGTTCACAGCTTTAAAAAACAAAACTCTCTCTCCTATTTACTGGGTGTTGAATTTCGGATACTTTGGTTCCCATAGGATTCCAGCACCCTGTAATGAAACTTTTCCTCTACAGATACGTTCTAAGGCTCCCCCATTCAATTCTTCCTGAGCTTAACAATGCCTTTGAGGCCCATTTTCTGCGGGGCACTTGATTTCCAAGGCCCAAGGGACCCCTGACTCCAGCTATTATCCGGGGAGTCACTGGGGTCCCCAAATCGGCACTTCTGAGAGCCTCTCCCTAATCCTTGTTTCACCCAGACCTGGGGCTCTAAAGTGGAACGGTTTCACTGGTGCGAGAATAAAAACAGCCCCCCGAGTCCCCGGCGCCGCCACAGCCCCTGACGGATCGGCGCGCCAGCGTCCCGGTGCGCGCCCCGACTTCCTGGGCCTCAGCCTCCCGCGCGTCGTCCTCCCTCGAACCGGGGTCCTCTTAGGAATGCACCGCCTGCCCGTGGCCAGACCGCTCTCGTTGGTTCGTGCGAGTCTAACCCTCGGGCCCGCCACTGCAAATGAGTTTCCTGAGTGTGGGTTCCGAGAGCGGGCGCCACGACCCGAGCCCGGCCCTCCCGCCAGGGGCCCCTCTCGCCGCTCCTTTCCCACGACTTCCTCCCGGCGCCCGCTGGACTTCAGGTCGGGGCCGCGCGGAGTCCTGCGCGCTCCAGCCCAGGCGGCCGCTGTCCCAGGTCGCCCACGTGGGCGTGCTCCGCGCCGGGCGGGGGGAAGGCCAGGAGCCCTCCCGGAGGCGGTAGAGGGGGGAGCCGGCAAGGCGCCCGCAGGAGGAGGCGGCAGGGCGCGGGGGAGGAGGCGGGGAGCCCCAGCGGCAAGGGGGCGGTGACAGAGCTTGGAAAGGAGGCTGCACGCGGATTTGCATGAAACACAGACTGGGAGCGGGCGGGAGCAGGAGCGCGGCGTACGCCCCGGGCTGGCCCAGCTAGCGAGCGAGCCGGGAAGGAGGAGGGCAGCGGGGAGGCGAGGCTGCCGAGGCGGAGGGATCTGCGCATCAAAGCGAGCGAGGCGAGCAAAGTTTGGCTAGGGGTTGGACTTTCCTTCCTGGAGGCGGCACCCAAACAGCCACCCCGTGCGGAAACCCAAACTTTCTTCTGCCACTCCGGTCCCCGCGGCCGCCGCCTCCGCCCGCGTCCCGGGCCTTCCCGATCCCGCTTCGCTACCGCCTGCCCGCCGCCCCGCCGTCTTTCTCCCCGCCGTGGGAGACGCCCGGGGCGCAGGGCCGCGCGCCGAGCCCCGCCGGCTGCAGCGCCGCGGCCGGGTCCGGAGAACCAGCAAGTTCGCCGAGAGTTGAAGCGAAGTTTGGGCGGCCGCGGCCGGCCCGGGCTGAGCTCCCCGCTGCGCCCCCGGCGTCCCGCCGCGCCCAGCCCCGCCGGGGGCGCTCCTCGCAGCTCGCGCGCCCTCCCCAACCATGTCGTCCATCCTGCCTTTCACTCCCCCGATCGTGAAGCGCCTGCTGGGCTGGAAAAAGGGCGAGCAGAACGGGCAGGAGGAGAAGTGGTGCGAGAAGGCAGTCAAGAGTTTGGTCAAGAAGCTTAAGAAGACGGGGCAGCTGGACGAGCTGGAGAAAGCCATCACCACGCAGAACGTCAACACCAAGTGCATCACCATCCCCAGGTGGGGGCTGGAGGGACCGTTGGGCGCGCCCGCCCAGCCCCAGAGCGTGGCGGGGTCGGCCTGGTGGGATTGGAGCAGGAGGGATCGTGTGTGTGTGTACACGAGGGGTGGGAACGCAGGCAGGAAGAGGGTGAGGGGGGACCCCAAACAAAACCTTTTCTAGATTTGCAAAGATTCGGAGCCCGGGACTTCCACGCGGCACTCGCTCTCGCAGACCTCGCATTGGCTTTTCACCTCCGGGAAAGGGGGTGCTGCAGGATCGCCCCCCCCCCCCCCGGGGAGCTGCGGGATAGAACTTGAGGCCCGCTTTGTTCAGCTCCGCGGGCCCGAGCCCCTCCTCCGCCGCCGCCTCCCGCCCCCGCGGCCCGCGCTCGTGGAGGTGGTGGTGTCTCTCCCATTCTTTTCTTCATTCCTGTCCCCCCACTTTCCTTCTCGACAGGAATGCAGTCCGTACAGCTGGGGCTGTGGGTGAGGAGCGGGAGCCTCGTGATTGACAGATTCCTTCTTCGTTCTCTCTTTGCCTTCGGGATTAGCATTTTTATCGAGTATTTTTAGATTCGGTTGTGCCAGTCTCCCGCCCCCTCCGCACACACGCACTTTAGTTGCAGTGCAGTGCTCTGACTTTCAAATGAGAGAGATAAGTGGCGGAGAGTGGGGTCTTCTCCCCCGCCTCCCCCGACTGTTTTTTGCCCTTCTTTCAGGCTGAGATTGCTGGTGGGTGCCGAAAGGAGGGGGGTTTGGAGCCGAGGAGATAACAAAACGCACCCCAAAGTGGGCCTCGCATCGGCCCTCGCATTCCTACGGAGCCCTCCTTCCCAAAGCGCTTTGCCATCTGTCTGGACCTCCTTTATCCTCCACTTCGTGCTAGCTAGGTCTGGCAGGAGCTCACAGATGGCTGATAGAAGGGGTCAGTGACTTCTCTCCACTCCCCACGGCCTTCTCTTAGCTTAGCTGCGCCCGGCTGGAAATTAGGATGTGGTGGTGGTGGGGGGGCACATATCTTAGCTTTCTTAGTCTCCCTCTTAGCCCCCTTTGAACGTCTTAATTCTGTACCGAGGGAGAGTTTGTGTGTCTGTGTGTGTGAGTTGGGGTCCCCGGCTGTGGAGGAATGAGCAGAGGGTCCCCAGGGCCAGAGCCCCACATAAATTGTCCGCCTTGATGCCGGGCCAGAAGTGGACTCCGTCCTTGGCCACCTGCTCGGGGCAGCTGTACGCCGGCCGCCGGCGTGTCAGGCATGCACAAAGCAACATCTGTCCACGGAAACCCAGAGCCGGCCTCCTCTGGAAATAAACGCCACATATGGTGGGAGTGCTGACTTGAAAAATAATAATTTTTTTTTTCAAAACTGGGTGGATCCAGTCAATAAAGCGGGAAGGAAGGTGGTGTACTGTCTGGGAAGTGTGTTCTGGTGTGTGATGGGGAGCCAGAACTGACTTCAGAGGAGGTGGTGTGATGTGATGGTCAGGGAGCCCTAGGTCCTGGTCTCAGCCCTGGTTCTTCCTTCTTTATTACTTTGGGTGAGGGGTAGGGAGTAGGGTAAAAGAATGTCATACTTCTCCCTCCTGGGGAGAACCTGCCTTCTTACTTGCCTGAGGGCGCTGAGGACAGTGCTTTTTTATGTTTTGAGACAGAAAAAAAAATCAGTATCCAGTATAAAATGAACAGCTGCATGAATTGTTTCACAGTTTACAAAGGACTTTCATATGCTTTTAGGAGATGAAGAAAAAGAAACTCAAGGAAAATAGATAAGGCAGTTAGGCCTAAGACTGATCCCATTTTCAAAGTTGAGAAAACTTTGGGGAGAGGTGAAAAGGCTTGGCATAGCAAAACATCCCATTCTGACCAAATGTGCCCCTTCTGCTTGCATGGCTCTTCTTCACTTTGAAGGTTCTGAATACATTCTTTGCTGATGGCTAGAGTATTAGCTAGAGGGGTGGGCCCTGGCATCTTTGGTAGTAAGGTTGCCAGCGTTCTTTGGGCTGGTGGCAGCCTGGAGGAGAGGCCTGACTCCCCCTTGCCTTGGTAGGAGTTTGCCCTCTGGGAAAGCATAGCCGTGGCCTGCCTTTTCTTCTTCCAGAGTTTTCTGCAGCCTGAAGCATATGGACACTCTGGATGTCCCTGAGAGTTCAAGTTAACTTGGCCTTCCCATAGCTCTGTGAGGACGGAGCCATCTTCTACCTGCCTGGCAAGGACCTGATGCTGAGGCAGATTTTTTTCCGTCTTTTTCAGTTAGGGAAACCCCGTTACTTGGGTGGATCCAGACAAAGTGGATTTCCATCCTTGGATTTTGTGCCCACGCCTCTGGGTCACCTTGTCTCCCTTGGCAACAGCGGCTGCTGTTTTGCTCATGGGCAGAAAACTAAAGGCCACGTCTTGGGGAGGTGGCTAGCTGGCCTCAGGCGGGTGATATCGGTGTGTCTCTGAGTCCCATAGATTGTGGAGCTGCTTGTCAAATTGTCTGCTCTCTCCACACAGCTTTCTATAATGAGGTCTTTGGGAAACTGACAGCGGGAAATGTTTCACCTAGTTATCCCACTGTGGGTGTGCGGTGGGGCCCTGGGTGCTTAAAAGTACCCTACAAGATCTGGATTTCACAGTGTAAGGAACCCTTAGTCTAAGGAGATTTTCTCCAGCTTGTTTTGGCTAATACAAGATCATGAGCAGCAGCAGCCTGTTTACCAATTAGAGCTGTGTACCGGAGCCCCCCAGACTGCGCACTTTCTTCTCTTACTCCGGCTCTAACTTGTCTCAGTGATCAAGAGAGCTGGAGTGATACAGGCTTACTGGTTTCAAGCATGTCAAAGAGACTGGTGCCAAAGCAGTGGTCAGAGCCTGATTTAGACACACCAGTAGAGGGGCTATCAGGATTCTCTGAGGTCTGGCAGGATGGTCAGAACTTCGACCAGTTGTGTAATAGCGTCCTCCGTGTTATCTACTCTCGTTCTTGAGTACCTGAGTCCATCTGCAGGTATCTTCCTGGCCAGTTTATAAGAATGGAGTAATAGCATTTGCCAACGAGAGGCAGAGAAGGAGTGCGTGTGTTCTATCAGGGAGAAGGAGCCAGGCACACTTAAAAATGACTCTTCTGATGGACACTGATAATTTATATTTCTACCAATGGGACCCATGCCGTGGCCCACTTGTTGAGGGCTGGACCAAGCTTATGACCTTGTTTGTTTGGAAGGAAATTCAGGCTTTCTTGTGTCAAAGCACCAAGTCCTGAGGAAAGTGGGGGAATCGAACCAAACATAAGGTCTGACACATACCTTTCTGTGCATCTGTTCTTTTGGTGTGGCCCCCTCCTGCTATCTGCCTGGACTTTTCCCAGGCTGGTCTCACCGTGATATTTCTTTCTCAGGCCTCGGGGGACAGACCAGGGGTGCACGAGTGGCATCTTTAACATCCTGTCCATTTCAGCATCTCCTGTCCTCTTTTCTCTCAGTTGCAGCTCAGAGCACCATCTTGTGTGGCCCACTGGAACCCAACTCACTTGCAAGCACCCATCCTCTCCTTTCTCTTGTTAGCCTCTATTAAAGGAGTTCTGCACAAAGGCAGGAAAGAGAAGGAGTCTGCCGGACACTGGGTAGTGGACTGTGGGGCTGGCTTAGAGCTATGGCTGAATCTAGGAGCCACTTGACCTTCGAACTTAGGAGCCATTTGGAACCTTCGAACTTGCTCCTTGCACCCAGGAGTTGAATGATTGGGCTCAGTACGTGTTGCAGACAGCCCCTTGCTCACAGTTCCTAATCAAATGTTACAGGATGGGATTTTGTGGATTCGTTCATAGGTATTGGCCCCTCCCATGTCTGAATCTGTATTCTGGGAAGTGGGGGAGGGTGTGGAGATAAACTTGAGATGGTCCCTGCCTGTGACAAGCTTACACTTGAGTAAGGAAGACATCAACAGGACATTATTTGTGTCTATTTCTTTCTTATTCCCAGCCATCAGGAAAAATATGAGCTCTAGTATGGAGTGATATTTTTGGGGAGTGAGGGGGATTATGATATTTTTTTTAATATTTAGAGGTCACTATGTTAGATAACAAAGTAAGGATAGCCATCTGTTTTCCCCAGGAAAAAAGCACAGAATTCAGGTCCTGTATCTTGTTGTTTTAATACCTGGATGGATTTAGCAGTTCTCAGAGCCTTCGTGTCGGCACCTGTAAAACCAGGATGAGGTAAAGCCTGTGGAAGTGTTTTGTAAACCAGAAAGTTTGAGAGATGTGTTTTATATTTAGATGTCTCTGTGTATCATTCATTCATTACTAAATTATTCAGTCATTTATGAAATACCTACTATGATGAGCAGGGCAGGGCACCTGTTCTCAAGGGCCCCCCTGTCTAGAGTGGGAGACAGACTTGCCCAAAATATAGGCCATTAGCTGCAGCCAAAAGGATGTACAAAATGCCCAGGGATGTGGGGGACAGACCATTACTTCTCTGGGAAGAGGTGGAGAGAGGAGGGAGGGGTCAATGCAAGGTGGAAAACCAAGAGGACAGGAGGTATTATCCAAAGGAGGAAGTTTCTGGACGGTAGCACGATCATGGGAACTTTTCGGTTCATGGTGTTTGTTGCCTACAGGACTGAGAATGTCTTTATCTTCTCTTATTCCTAAATGGAGTGCTGCTATGAATATGTTACCTCGTAGTCTGCACCAGAAGACTAGTGACTTGTATTCAGTATTTTATGCCACTGTAAAGTGTTCTCACTTTGAAATAGAAAAAGGAGTTAGTATGGCAAACCTGAAATTCAAGTTTCCTTGGTGGAAACGGTGAGTTAAGATGTATCAGCTCAGAATATAACAGACCATGTCGATAAGAAGTGGGCAACTTGGAGGTGATGGTGGATGCTCAGAATTTTTGAGTTTTGGTGTGCACTTTTAATTTCTCTGGTTAACACTTGCCAAAAAATAAATCCTGTAAACCTGAAATTCTACAGGGACATAAGAGCTTTTAATAATGTATTTTTAAAAGTCTTTGCAAGGATGTAAAGGTTTAAAT